ATTTGTAACTCAAGAACGGCTGGACCAATTGTTATGATATTTGATTTTTTAGATTTCTCTTAGTCCGGAATAGAATAATAAGTATTAAAACATCAAAAAAATAAACGAGAAAAAATTTATATGGCTAACGCTGGCTAATAACTATTTATATCTATGTAAAACCTACCTAGCGACGAACCCGAGCGAAGCAAGGGTGAGCCGCTAGTTACTTTTAAAGGTACATACCACATTTATCTCCTGTTATATTCTAAGGTCGTAACAGCCTACTGTCCTAATACCCGTCTATTTGCTGCAGTTCAATTAGTGAGTAGGTGTCGTCTGTTAATTAAAGCCAGCACAGTATCTGCTTATAATGGCTCCGGGTCAAAACATAACGTCTCGTTATCTTGCATGCTCGTTCAATATAATGGTTTGATCAATTTATAGGTAAATAGGTATTATTTACTATAGTATGTGGCTTCTGTGTAGGTATAAGTCCTAGGTTCGAGTTCTGGTTTTTATAAGAAAGTTTAATATCATATTATACAAATTAACAATTAAAAGGAGAGATATCTAGCCATCTTCACCCTACAATAAACATCTATTTAACTTAGATATCACACAGCCCACTCTGCAGAGCCTGCATGAGGGCAGATGAAACGGCTACACATGTAATATTACATTGTTCAGATGTAGCGGCATACTGGGCTCAACATCTTGGCACCCCTAGTACACTCCCAGAGGTCTTCTGCAAGATGAAGAGACTGCTGAAATTCCTGGAGGAACTGGGCTGGCAAGAATAAAACGAATGGAAAAATTTTCACACACGCAAAATAGGGGCGCGCAGACGTCGAGGTGCGGAAACAAGCCCGAATATACCATACCATCTAGCCATCTTTTTAACTTTTTGTAAATTTTTGTAGATATTTTGAAAACTGTGAATATTGTTATTTAAGATACTAAATCAATAAAGACATTACTTTATAGACTTAACTTCCTGCAAAAAACAAGTATGATGCGTATAACAACACTGTTTCCTTTGCCTATCCGCTTCAGAAACACATTATGAAATAAATAATCGCATCTGATATCTCTATCGAGTTGTTTATATTAAGTTTATTATTTTTTCTTTCTTCATATTAGACAAAATGAATTAAAAATATAATTATAAATGTTATTAAAATAAGGCATATTTATACATATGAAACACTGTTGTTTTACGGTACACCCTAGGGATAGGGAATAATTTAAGAAAGTATAGAGGACAAACATACAAAGAACAATTCTTTTTGTCAGGAACTCGAGTGTACGTAAAACTACTTACCAAAGTTTCATCACAATCGGATGGGTGGTTAAGGAGCTGATAGACTCCATACAAAGAAACATGAATTTTTATTTATGTAGTTTTATGGAGATACAATGATATCGAAGTGGGTGTTTAGTCATCCAACCCCTTCTTTCATTCTTCCCCTACGTTTTCTTTACGTATAGCTTTGTAACAGTAATTAAATTGTATTCTTCTTATGAAGATCTTCAGAACCGTGTTCCACAAGGTGGAAAATTAATTTCCGTTTTGTAAAATTCATTTTCCAAAACGAAATTTGATCTCATTTGACAAAATAATATCGACTTATATAAATTGTTAGAATTCGTGAACGCCAGAAGCAAGGTTCGACGACCTGAATATTTTAAGATACAGGCATCCATCCCCTTTGCCTCCGTTCAATCGCCTATGACCCTGTTTCTTCTAAATAAAAGAATTTGTAGGCGAGACGGTACATTTTCTTAGCTGAAAATGCTAAGCTCCAAATACCTATACCTGTGCAGTACATTGTACAAGTTAGTATTAATAAAAGAATTTACTGAATATACCTGTCAATATTTGATAAAATTTATGTCACAGATTTATTTCTTCTTTATGCTATGTATCATCATATCCATAGAGCGTTTTTAAAGCCATATATCTATACATATAATAAAATTGTAACTAAGCCGAATCTGTACATTAAATATTTTTTTGGAAAATCTTATTGAAATAAACATTATTATCGATACAGAGGCCGAATCTATAGTTTTTAGAATTTTTGTCTGTCTGTCGGTTTGTCTGTCTATCTGTTACCGCATCACGGGAAAACCACTGAATAGATTTTGATGAAATTTGGTAAGATGATAGCTGGTTATCCGGGTCAACATATAGGATACTTTTTACTGCGGGAAAATATCTCATTTCTGAGAAAAAATACAAAAACTGCATTGTAAGAGTATACTAACGTAAAACCTAAGAATTTGGTTTTTGGTCATCTGAAAGCGCGCGGAAAGCTGGTAATGCTAGTATATTATATGCATGACGGACAGACTATACCACCGGAGATGTTCTCAGATTTAATTTCTACATACATTTTTAGCTTTATATTAAGCGCAATTTATAGTATAAATAGTTAGTACCGGTTAGTTTTCAACACGATTTAAGGTTATTCAATATTAATCATATATGTACATATATAATTCAATGTTAAGAAATATTAACTTCGTCCAAGCATCGAACACGTCATGACTTCCGATATAATAAACTTATTATATGGACATAAAAAGTCATATTCTTTTATTCTTTGACTAAAGTAACTAACATATACGCTGTAAAGGTAGAAACTATACTGAGCGAGCTATAACCGTCAGGTGGCAATTTATGACATCGCCATTACTTTGCAGCATCCGCGATATGTTCGATTTATGGCACGCATTAGGCCCGTTTCCGTCCCGATTGCTACAGACTTAATTTCAATAGATAAATATACATGAAAACTTTACGTAATCCTTACTAATATTATAAATACGAGTGTGTTTTGTAGCCTGACTTTTTTCACACAGAAAGGGAGTGACAGATCGATTATTATGAGATGGACAATAACATCAACTTGATCTCGTGAGTTACATGCTCGGTGTAAAACTTAACAATAGACATGCACTGACGTTTCACGTTTTCATAATAAAAATGTTTTTTTTTATATTTCTTCAATGGCCAATATTTAAGATGAAAGTACATGAAATATATTTATATAGAGAAATTACGTCTGAATGCAATTACCCTTTCGTCTGATGGTGTATGGATCTACTGACTTAGAGTGATGTCGCGAGATCGATAACTACGCACGGCAATCATTTACCAAGAGGAAAAGGAATCAATAATATTTGATAGTATAGAAAAATCGTTACAATTTATATTTGGTTCCAAACAAATGAACAAAGTACAAGATTTATAAAAAAATAACTTAATAAACATGAAATAATATATTTTCAAATATTTATTTACATACATACACTACATGGAACAAAACAATCCTTGTAATTTTACTATTTCAATCGTGAAATGGGAGTATAGAACAGATGCTTTGAAATTAACCCTACTTGTGCCTAAAAAGAAGCATATTGAATACTTTGAATACTTGAAAGCTTTGTATGTGATACGAAGGAAATAATCAAAAACGACACTCATGAATCTCTGATAACGGGGTTACGACAGTTTTCTCTCCCTTTGACTACTCCGAGTGTTACATAAATGATTCGAACAATAATTTTCCGATTTATTGACGCTTATATTCGAAATTTTGCCTTAAACGGTAGAATGGGTGATAAAATATTCACACCGCGTACAGAGATATTTCATGCAAAAATAAGCAGGTAGAGCTGTATACTCTATTAATTCTTTAGACACGATAAAAATGTCTACGTTTATTTTGTAAAGTGTCGATACAAAACATACCTGTAAATTTTTATATGTTTTTCTTAATGTTTTAAAGTTTTTTCATGTTATTAAACACTTTCAAGCATATAATAAAAAAGAGTAAGATTTTTATTTCATATTTATGTACATATTTTTATGTTAAATAAACTATCTATTGTTATAAGACTCTATCTTATTCATAAAATCTTATCTTTATGCGACTTTGATCTAATCTAATGTATATCTGGACGCCTTCTTTATATGCGAAACTTATATCTTGGGACCTACTCAGCCAACTGAAATGAGTCTAGAATCTCTGTTTCTAATTTCGGGCACTACGTGTACAATAAAAAAACTCATCGTTTAATCAACTATTTTCAATATTGTCATTCCCCTAACATCCCGTAAAGTTATTTTTAAAAACATTGAACATGAATTTGGCACCATACTTACAATTATAAAAATTAACGTGTTAATTGTTTGTTTTTGTTGATAGGTTTACTAGTTTGTCCGATTGCGCCAAATAAATAAACCCAAGTGTTTATGGAGTTACGGCAGTGGTAGCCCAGTGGTAACGCGCTCGCTTGGGAAACCGAGTGAAGCGGGTTCAAATCCCGGGTCTCACAACTCTGATATTTTCATGTGCGAATCATTTCTAACATGATTACCACTTGCCTTACGGTGAAGGAAAACATCGTGAGGAAACCTGCATGTCTGAGAGAACTTAGCAAGTTTTCGAAAGACATGTGAAGTCCGCCAACCCGCACTTGGCCAGCGTGGTGGACTACGGCCTGATCCCCTTCGTATTGAAGGGAGGCCCGTGCCCAGGAGTAGGACGTTAAAAAGGGCTGAATACATGTGTTGGAGAACTACTAGCTGCTATTTATTCTATAAAATATCACTTTATTCTTGAAGTATTCGTCTATTAAAGAGGTGATAAGTGACAGCCAAGCGGAACGAAGGCATGTCACAAGTTTTATTATATAGATATTGATGTATGTATGTTTGTCATCAAACGTTTACTTGACCTTGCAAAGTCAAATTTATTTTTTTTTATACTCAAAAGCTAAGTAGGGCATGATGTTGCTCGCGTCCGTAGGATTCTCCACCTATCCCTAGGAACACCCTACACGTATCCCCTGGGTGGTGCTAAACGAGCAACAACGCCGAGTTACAGGCGGCGGTTAACTAACCTGTTCTTGACAACCACAAGTCACGAGGAATTAAATACCCCTCAAAAATAGTGGCGATAGTGCCTTGGGAAAGTGCTATTCGTAATCTCCCAACCCCTTTTTAAATTATGGAAATGTCAGTGAATATGGAATGCGATTTGTCATGCGATCCGGCTAACCCCCGGCGCTCTCTGGTACCCGGGCCAGAGAGTGTGAAATATGCTACCGAAGTCTCCACAGGAGTAGGTGACCAGGCTCCTGTGAAAGAAAATGCTACTGGAAGACGCAAGATGGTGCAACAGGCTTTTCACCCATCCCTGTTCTCAAGACCTAGAAGCAACTCACTAGGTATACCCAAATATAGACTCGACCCTCAAAAATAGCAGTCCATCAGATACTGCTACAATAGAGCACACTAATCAACAGACAAATAAAGATGCCTCCCTCAACAATAGTGTCATTGATAATGCAACCTCACAAGTAACACACACACAAGAAGTCCAACCGCCGGAATGGCAAAGAGTACCTGTCAACAGAAGTAAGAAGCGCAAAAAATCATCTCAATCACCATCTCCTGGTAAACTAAAAATCACCAACCGGTACAGCACGTTACCTGTAGACCAGGAAGAAAGGCTTGACCCCAAAGAGAAGAAGGCACCTAGACCACCACCTATAATTTTGTATGGTGTTGAGGATGTCAACAAACTGACAGATCTATTAGGTACTGTGGCGGAAGGAAAGGATTATTCTTATAAGATTGTCAACAGAAATCAGCTGAGAATACACTGCACTGAACTCAACATCTATAAGGATATTCTTTCTCTAATCAGAGAGAATGGCTTGATAGGTCACACTTTTAATCGAAAAGACGAGAGATGCTACAGAGTAGTAATAAGAAATCTTCACCACTCTACACCCCTTCAAGAAATAAAAGCGGACATTGAAAAAACTGGTAATGTTGTCTCTGGTGAGATAATCAATGCTAAATTTGGTCCTGATAAGAAGCCAACCTCTACATTTTTTGTCAACCTTCTACCCAGTCCTCAAAATAAGGCTGTAAAGGAATTGAAGTACATCTACCACCAAGCAGTTAAGATAGAAGAGCCCAGGAAGAAAAAGACTGTAGTGCAGTTTCAGCGATGCCAGCAATATGGACACTCCAAAAACTATTGCATGCGTCCATACAGATGTGTAAAATGTGGACAGTCTCACAAAACATCTGAGTGTCCCAAAAAGGACCGAAACACTCCTGCAATATGCGCACTTTGCAACGGGCCCCATCCTGCGAACTACAAAGGATGCGATGTTTACAGAGAAATCTTAAAAAGGAGATTTAATCGGCCAGTTCCTCAACAATAATCCAGAGCTGGAAAAACCAATATTAATGGAGTAGCCTTCACTCTTAATGATAACACTATGACAACAAAGGATGACTCAAAGACATACGCACAGGCATGCAAGACAAACAACAAAGAGACAGATACTCCCAATGACAACACTCAACAACATAAAACTCCTACTATTGAAGAAATACTCATACGACAAAACGATAAATTTGAGTTAATCTTACAACAAATGAGCACCCTTATGGGACTCATAGCTAAGCTCGTTGATCGGCTCACAAAGTGAATTCCTACAGAGTAGCTACCTGGAACGTGAATGGACTAAGCCCTAACAAACTAGAAGTTGAACTATTTTTGGCGGAACATAAAATCGATATACTCCTTGTAAGTGAAACGCATTGTACCAGCAAGACAAACTTGAAACTTAAAGATTATCAGTGCTATATGACTGGCCACCCAGACGGCACTGGTCATGGTGGAGCAGCAGTTATTGTAAGAAATAATGTGAAACATCACCTAATGCCAGAATATAGGACAGAACCAATACAAGCCGCAACTATTTCTGTGGAGGATGGTAACGGGCACATTAACTTCTCGGCAGTATACTGTCCTCCCAAACATAAAATAAAAGAGAATATGTATACTGAATTCTTCCACAGTCTCGGAAATCGTTTTGTCGCAGGTGGAGATTGGAACGCAAAACACATTAGCTGGGGCTCTAGACTTACCTCAACAAAAGGGAGGCAACTTAAATTATGCTTAGACAAAAATAATTTACTAGTGTTGTCTACCTGTGAACCTACATATTGGCCTACAGACGCTACCAAGATCCCTGACCTCATTGACTTCTTTGTTACAAAAGGATTATCTCGTCACTATTTGAAACCTGAGTCTTGCTATGATAGCTCGTCTGATCACACTCCCATTCTTCTAACTATGAGCACATTGCTAATAGAATCTGAGTATGCAGAAACATTAACTACCAAAAAAACTGACTGGGAAACTCTCAGAGACTATATCAACATAAATATAAATCTAAATATCCCTCTAAAAACTCCGGACGATATAGAAGATGCTACACGGTATATAACAGAGTTGATCCAAACAGCTTGTTGGATCAATACACCTGAACCTAAACCGGACGACAGGCATTCAAACTATCCAATGGCAATTAAAAAAGCGCTGCTAAATAAACGCATGTTAAGGAGGATCTGGCATCAAAGTGGGTTAGAAGCGGACAAAATCACTTTTAATAGAGCCGCTGCAGACTTAAAAGAAATGCTGCAAAAGTGGCACGATGACACATTGGAAGTACAGCTGGAATCGCTTTCACCCTTAGCCTCAAACCACCATTCTCTTTATAAATTTACAAAAAAATTTAGTAGACCTCAAAGTGCTAAAGTCCCGCTGAGAATTGAAAAAGGATGGGCCCGAACACCGCAGGAAAAGGTTGACACTTTCTCCAAACACTTGGAAAAAGTCTTCACTCCAAACTCGGCAGTAAACTTGAAGAACGAAGAAGATATAGATAAAGTACTTCTTCAAGATTTCCAGATGGCACCACCACCACGCTCCTTCACAGTGCGAGAGGTCTGGAAGGTCATCTCAAAAATGAAAGACAAGAAAGCTCCTGGATATGATCTTATTACAAAAGAAATACTAAAACAATTACCAAGAAAAGCTATAGTATTTTTAACATCTTTGTTTAATGCTGTACTGAGAATCCAGTATTTTCCTTTGGCGTGGAAAATTTCCCAAATCATTATGATCTATAAGACAGGAAAACAGCCAAATGAAGTATCTTCATATCGGCCGATAAGTTTACTCCCGATCCTCTCCAAAGTGTTTGAGAAGTTACTGATGGATAGAATTCTGCCCATTTTGAACGACGCTAAAGTCATACCTGACCATCAATTCGGCTTTAGGCAAGAGCATTCCACTGTTGAACAAGTGCATAGAGTATGCGATAAAATTAGAAAGAGTTTTGAAGAAAAGCAGTATTGCTCCTCTGTGTTCTTAGACATCCAACAGGCTTTTGACAAGGTCTGGCATAAAGGACTCTTCTATAAGCTCAAAATCAACTTGCCTCACCAGTACTACTCCGTAATAAAATCATACCTTACAGACAGGATGGGTCAGGTAAAAGACGCGGATGCAAAATCGCAGTTCTTTGAAATTAAGGCTGGGGTACCGCAGGGGTCAGTCCTGGGACCGCTCTTGTACACGTTGTACACTGCAGATTTACCCCAAACTGAAGGAGTAACCACAGCAACTTTTGCCGACGATACTGCCGTGTTAGCAAGCCACAAAGACCCTACCATGACATCGCACATGCTACAGACAAGTTTAGACAATATCACAACATGGCTGGAAAACTGGCGTATAAAGGCGAGTGCAAGTAAATCAGTTCAGGTTACCTTTACACTCCGAAAAGGTAACTGCCCACCAGTCAAGCTTGAAAATACCACGCTTTCGCATCAAGATAACGTTAGATATTTGGGAATGCATCTCGACCGCCGTCTAACGTGGAAGAACCACATAAAAACCAAGAGGTGTGAGGTTAATATCAGATTCAAGAGCCTGCATTGGATCATGGGACGAAACAGCAAATTAAGTCTCGACAACAAACTCTTGATATACAAGGTTGTACTGAAACCTGTTTGGCTTTACGGAATTCAATTATGGGGAAGCGCCTGCAAATCCAATATCACCGTGATTCAAAGAGCACAAAATGCCATACTGCGATCAATCTGCCAAGCACCGTGGCTTATCACCAACAACGAAATCCACGAGAATTTTATGGTGGATACTGTAGCTGCTGAAATAAAGAAATATAAAACCAATTATCGCGACCGACTAGAGAGGCATCCAAATGACCTTGCAACTGCCCTAACAAAAAGAAGTTACACAAAAAGACTGAAAAGGAATGATATCCTAGATTATTGAAAAAAAAAAGTATATAAATATGGAGTAGATGGCTCAGTGGAGTCACGCTCTTACTGTAAAAAAAAAAAAATCTTAGAACATATCTGCTAAAAGTAAATACTGCTTGCAGATTTCCTTATAAAACAAAAAAAAAAAGCTAAGTACTTAATAAAAATCAATTTCATCCTAGTTATAGCATATTTAAGTATTTTTGATCGTATCTGAAATTCAGTTTAAGAGGTGAGGAGTTTCGTAATTTATGCAAATTGTTAGCATTCGGCGAGAAAGGTAAGTCGAAATGGAAAATAATTTTCTGTAATGCCCTTCGAAGTATTAACTGACTCCTTGGTTCGATAAAATATTAAATTTTGTGAGGTAAATATAATGTTAGTAATTTACTGTCAGTTGTATTTTTATTTATTTTTTATTATCTTAAAATACAAAATAAAATATTATGATAATAAGTATTTAAATTATTACCCATACTTCCAAGCTAATATTATAAATGTGAAAGTGTGTTTGTTTGTTTATTTGTTTGTTTGTTCTTATTTTACGTCTAATAAAGTGACGGATTGGCGTGATTTTTTGTGTGGAGAGAGTTGGAGGGCTGGAGAGTAACTTAGGATACTTTACCGCGAGAGGTTATCTCATTACCTTGGGAAAACACATTATAATACATACAACCCAAAAAAATATTTTATGGTCAGAATTACTTGAAAGTTGGTATTAATGCTCTTCGATACAATTAAATACCTAAATAGTATGTGTTTCAGTATTTCTTGAAATTCATCCTTTATGGGGGTACAATAAAGGATGAAAATTTTTAAGAAACCTACGTTTTTAGAGTTTCTTTTGTCTATTTTCTGCTAGTATTATATTATTTCTTTTTTTATTTTATTTTAACAATGCTTAGTTTATTGACGAAAATATGTTTTTTGTTGTTATATTAAATGAAATTTAACAAAACATCAATAACATTTTTTTTTTGCCTTTTTGGTTATACGTCGGTTGGCATATTTAATTAAAATCTACAAAGTCCAAGTTATGTCGAGATCTTATCTTGAAAGCTAAAAAATTAATTTCATTTCTTCAGATAAACTTCCATACCTTTT